GGCTCTGGTCCCGGCTCTGGTCCCGGCTCTGGTCCCGGGGCTGTCCCGGCCCTGGTCCCGGGGCTGTGCCAGCTCTGTTCCCGGGGCTGTGTGGCCCTGGTCCTGGGGCTGTGCTGGCTCTGGTCCCGGCTCTGGTCCCGGCCCTGGTCCCGGCTCTGGTCCCGGGGCTGTGCCAGCTCTGTTCCCGGGGCTGTGTGGCCCTGGTCCCGGGGCTGTGCTGGCTCTGGTCCCGGCTCTGGTCCCGGCTCTGGTCCCGGGGCTGTCCCGGCCCTGGTCCCGGGGCTGTGCCNGGCCCGCGGAGAAGGCGCAGCGGTGCCGGGGGAGCTGCCCCACTCCCTGCCGATGCCACGGCGCCCCGTGCCCGCCGTGCCCCCCCGAGCCTGCCGTGTGTCCCCGCAGAGTGTGACTGTCACCCCGTGGGCGCCGCCGGCCAGACCTGCAACCAGACCACGGGCCAGTGTCCCTGCAAGGACGGCGTCACCGGCATCACCTGCAACCGCTGCGCCAAGGGCTACCAGCAGAGCCGCTCCCCCATCGCCCCCTGCATAAGTAGGTGGATTTTTCTTCTTGTGCAGCACGGATTTTAACCCTTCAAACCCCCCCGGAGCCGCTGCCCGGGCTGCGAGCTGCTGACCCCACTGACCTTGGGGGCAGCACTGCCTGGGGACCCCCATCCTCTGCTCTGCCCAAACGTGCTCCAAAATCCACAGCAGCTTCCAGCGGCTCTCCTGCCTTCCTGGGGGGGTTCTGTGAGTGCATCTACAGCCGAGTTTGCTGGGAATTCAATTTTGCTGCATGGAACAGAGGTGCCCCAAGAGCACATTTATTTAGGGGTGTCACGTGAGGGCTGGATGCTAAAGCACATCGCTACAAACAGGTTCTTCTCTCCAAAATCAGGCTGTGCTGCCCTGGCACAGAGCTCAGACCAGAGGAGCTGCTCCTTTGATGGAGCTGCTGTCACAGCTGAGAACCCTGCATTGCTGAAGGGGCTCTTGCACTCACAGAGCCCTCCCAGAAACACGGGTGCTTTTACCATCGGCTTCCTTGGGTTTGCTTCTCAATTTGCCTCCCCAAGGCTGCTCTCCCCTCTGCTCTCAAAACAACAGCACAAGCACCAGGTCCAGCTCCCAAAATGCCTCCCTTGCAGCAGCTGCTCTGCAAACCCTGGATCCCCTCAGCCCTCGGGGCTCTCACTGCCTGGGGAGTCGGGGTTCAGTCCTGGGCCCCTCTCTGCTGCCTGTGGGCTTTGCTGCTGTTGGATCTTCCAGTGGCTCCTGTTCCTTGTGGGCCATCCCCACCTGCCCTAACAAAACCAAGCATCAACATCAGAGTGCCTGGGATGGGATGGGAAGGAGGAGCCCCTGAGGGTGATTCCCTGCTGCTGACAGGGGAAAAGGCCCAGCAAGAAAAGCAAAGGTTAAAAGATTCAAGCCTTTGTTGGGGACCTGCAGTCTGTTCCCACACCATTGCCCCCCCAGCATGGCCATTGCCAAATTCTGGGGCAGAGACCCTTTCTCCACCTTCTCCTGCTGAAGAAAACAGACATTCCAGGCTGGTTTGGGGTCACTTGAGATTCATTTTTCCCCGTGTTGCAATGGGACAGCAAGAGCCCAAAGCAGAGGCTTGTTGTCCCCAAGACCTCCAGCCGTGGCTCCAGTCTGCTCTGCAGCAAGTGTGCACAAAGGTTTATCATCAATCATTCCCCAGGGCCAGGGGAAATCAGAGAGTAAATTGTTCCTTGCATCAGCCCCCTCAGGATTCGTGGCACTAAATAAAGACAGCCCCAGGATTTCAACATGGCCCATCCAGGGCTTGGGGCTGGGCACAGTCACGCTCTGATTTACCACTGCTCGTAATTCCCTGTTCCCAGAGCCCTGTAGCCATGAAAAGAACACCTGGGGGAAGGAGTGAGACCCCCACGGGTCTGTGCCAGGCCAGGCATGGGCACCCCCAGCCCAGCTTTGGGATGGCTGTGCTGGCTCTCAGTGCTGCCTGGCCATGCAGCGGGCCTTGTGCTGTGTTTAACTGCATGAAGGTGAGCCACCCCAAAAATCACCTGATGCTGATTGGGCTGCAGCCCTGCAAGCTGCTGCCACACCCCCAGCAAACCCTGCCTTGGTGGCCGTGCCTTCCCCCAAGAGCACGAGCAGAAAGAGGCAGATGCCCACTCCCAGCTCATGCCTAAATTCCACCTTCAAACTGGGCCGGTGGGGCATTCCCAGGAATGCTCAGAATGCCAGCAGCGTGCCCTAGATGCAGGAGGCACATCCAGGGGAGGTCCTGCACGGCTGGGACCCTACAGCTCCCTCCACCCACAGTCCAAAATCTCAGCAAGCACAGCCAGGCCTGGCAATGGATCTCCAGAGCGTGCTGTGGTTTCAGCTCTGCGAAGTTGGCCCCAAATGAGAGCCAGGGACCAGGGAATTGGCACCAGTTGTGTTTCCTGTAAGTGTGGGAGGCACCCCTGGCATCCCAGCAGAGCTGCAGTACCGTACCTGCACCCTGCCTCTCACAGGGGAGCGCCAGCACTGCCTCCGAGCTGGTGACAGCAGCTGGAGGGGACAGCTCAGGGACAGGCAGTGGCAGCAGCCCACAGGGGCTGGGCACAGTGCAGCACGCAGCCAAAAGCCAAATTTTTTGTTAAAAACCCCCTTTGCGACAGCTTTGAGGGACGCCGGGTTCCCCAGTTCCGCTGTACTGGTTTGGGGGCTCTTGCTGGGAACCCTCCTCACTGGCAGACACGGCTGGGAGGGGAGCCTGCCGTGTATGCAGGGAGCAGGCTCTCTGGGCTTTGGAATAATCGTGCTCCTTTTGTCTCCTCTGCTCCCGTGTGCCCCGGCTGTCCTGCAGAGATCCCGGCTGCCCCACCCACCACAGCCGCCAGCAGCGCCGAGGAGCCCGCAGGTATGTGCCGTGTTCCCCTGGAGCATCCCGTGTTCTTCCC